ATTAATAAGAACAAAAATTTGTAATAAAAATTTGTAGTAAACAGTGTATTTTATTATAAAGGATTTTCGTTTTTCTACTGCTCCGTAGTTCGTGTGCTCCGTGTGCTCCGTGTGCTCCGTGTGCTCCGTGTGCTCCGTGCTCCGTGTGCTCCGTACTCCGTGCTCCGTGTGCTCCGTGCTCCGTGTTTTACTAATAGCCACTTAATCGACCCTCTATGTGAAGTTTTATGGATAACAATTCGCCCAACACGCCTCCCAAGGGGTATTAGCAGTATTGTCATAGGAACATTATACCATCATCCGAATGCAAATAATTCTGCCATAATAATGTCGACTTACCTTATGAGCCGGCTGTCTCTCGTTTGTAGAGTCTCAATACCCAAACAGCTGGATTCTTTTGCTTGGGGATTTTAATGGCCTAAATATATGTTGCAAACTTAAAATCCAGTTTTAAACTAAGACAAATCGTCAAGTTTCCAACCAGAGGCCAAAACACCTTGGATTTTATCCTTACCAATCTGCTAGATTTTTACAATAATCCAGATAAGAGCTCGCCTTTCGGTTTGACGGACCACCTGTCTATTGAACGTTTACCGAAATAACGTTACCGTGCTCAAATTCCAAAGCAGCGAAAGATAGTTAAATCGAGAGATCTGCGTCCCAGTAGTCGCTTAGCCATAAGGTCATGCCTAGAAAAAGTCGACGTGCCAGCCTTACTTGATAATGTGAACACATGCACAGAGAAGACTAATCTCCTTGAGATAATTGTCAAGACTGGTTTGGACCTTATACTTCCATTGCGATCGAAAACTGTTCATCTTAACGATCCTCCGTGGTTTAGCTCAACCTTGAAAAACCTCATAAAAATACGCCAAAGAGCACTCACCAAGGGAGATTCGTCGGAATTCCATATTCTTAGGAACCGCGTAAATCGTGAAAGAAAGAACTGTCGAGCAAGATATATTATGAAGCTAAGGTCGCCTATCTGAAGGATTGTAAGCCATCGTCGTGGTGGAAGGAGATAAAGAAACTGAGTGGTATGTCACCAGTCTCGGGTGGAAGAAACGATAATATCTTAGAGTCTCTTCAACACATCGGTGGAGTATCAAATGCGAAAGACCTTGCCAACGTCATCAATGACTCCTTTATCCAACCATTGATGGTCTACTCGCCACTCCCAGCCAATTTCCAACTTGAGCGGGATACTCCTCCTTCACACCCCCCCCTTGTCGTCTTTCAACATTCCGTTTATATGAAGATGTCAATGTTGAATTCCACCAAAGCCGAAGGTCCAGATGGTATACCAGCGTGGCTGCTTAAAGAGAATGCAGACCTATCACCTACTTGCGAAACCAATCACAGATATCCTCAATTGCTCCTACCGGGTAGGTAATTACCAATGTCAAGGATGAATGCTGACATTGTCCCTGTTCCGAAACAAAAACCAGCTAAAGACGTCAATAAAGATCTGCGACCAATCTCCCTCACACCGATCCTATCAAAAGTCGCAGACGAATTTGTCATACAAAAGTACGTAAAGCCCGCCATACTGAAAGAAATTGATGGAGACCAATTTGGATCTATCCCTAAGTCATCGACAACGCAAGCACTTATAAGTATGGTGCATGTGTGGACAAAATATACAGATGGGAATGGCTCTACGGTTAGAGTGGTTCTCCTCGACTATAAGAAAGCATTTGATCTAATTGACCACACCATGTTGACTGGGAAACTTAAAAAGTTAGATCTCCACTATGAGATCATCTGCTGGATTGTAGACTTTCTGAAATTCCGCAAACAGCGGATTAAGCTCGCAAACGATTGCAAATCGGAATGGATTGGTGTCCCTCAGGGGACGAAACTGGGACCATGGCTCTTTGTATTAATGATTGAAGATATCAAAGTCACAAACACCGACTTATGGAAATACGTTGATGACACCACGATCGCCGAGCCAGTGGAGAAGGGCGAGATAAGCAATATTCAAACCGCTGTCGATGAACTGTCGGAAATGTCAAACAGAAGTAAGTTCCAGTTGAATGAAAGGAAATGCAAGGAAATCGGGATCTCTTTCGCAAGATACCAACCTCAGTTTGAACCTATCTATATCAACGATAACGAAATTGAGGTTGTAAAAACCGTCAAATTGTTGGGATTGAACATTTCAAGTGATCTTAAGTGGAACTGCCACGTTTCCAAAATTGTCAAGAAAGCTTCTACCCGTCTCTATTTCCTTAAGCAACTAAAACGAGCCAAAGTAGCTGAGAAAGAACTCGTAATTTACTACATCACCTGTATTCGATCGATTACAGAGTACGCTTGTCCCGTATTTCATAATGGCCTGTCTAAATACCTATCAATTGATTTGGAAAGAATACAGAAACGTGCGTTGCGAATCATTTACCCCTTCACTAGTTATATGCAGATGCCCTTGAAATGTGTGACTTACCATCCTTATATGACCTTAGAGACACTAACAACAAAGCTTTTCGAAGAAATATGTTCCGACCCTAATCACAAGCTGTACCATTTACTGTCTGAAATCAACAGATCTGCTGTTAACCTTCGAAACAGTCGCAAATTCAATGTTCCCACATGTAAGACGAACAGGTTAAAAAATAGTTTTATATTTTGTAACTCGAGGAAAGCCAACTTCCCAAATGAATAATTTTAGCAGTATATATTAGTTGTATCATAGTTATATTGTATTTTAATTATCTAACCTTTTGTAAAGTTTATGCACAATTCAGCATTGACGCTGCAATGTTTTAAACTAATTATATTAAGTCATCATCATCATAAGAAGGTACCATGGTATAATATGATTATTATATCATATGGTTTATAATATGATGATGTACTAATTGTATTTTTACTATTGTATGGTAAGGTATGTTAAGTAAGCATGGTATGGTGAGGATACCAACCTGGGCTATACTAGTGACATTACATATCTCGCCACCAACTGTGATGATATATTTCAACAGATCTTTTTCCCCTTCCACTCGAAGATACTTGCCCTAAACAAACAGTGGAAATGAAAGGAATGTACAAAACCATCTTATGATGATCATTACAGTGATTTGATGAGAGTCAGATTACTAGATATGTCTTGAAATTTAATCGTCAACGCCTATCACTATAACCAACTGTTAAATTAACACCAACAGATATCTTATAGACGTAGTGGCGCAAGAAACAATAGAGAGCTTTAGATTTTGCCACGAGTACGACTACGAGATTCGTTTATTTGAATACACCATCTTCTTACGTTGTCATGTACTGACGCCTTAAAAATCTCGTACCCTGGCAACAGCTCTGAGCAGTGGATATTACTTTCACTCACCAGTGAATAATAAAATCATCGAGTTATAAAATAAAAATTATATATGGAAGCTTCCCGTTTCTTTTTGTTTTTTTTGACACTTGGTATATAATAAAATACTTATTGACTTTCGGGAAACAGTTTGTTTTGTGAAGCCTCGACTGCTAATGCTTTCCTTAGCTTCGCCTTGAGAAATATTGGCAATCTTGTGTCCACAAAACTTACTGTTTCACTCGGTCCCAGTCAAAAAATATTAAACTCCTTTCACACTGCAGCTGCCTCACTTAATAGAGGAAAACTTGGGTGGAGGACATGATCCACTTTCAATTCACTTATTCACCAATAGCGACGCCATCTTGAATCATGATGCATTATGGGTTATCCAGGGTAAAAATCCGAATTCAAAAGCCTTCAAATGTCGTATTGAGACACAATACGACAATTTTTTTTCATAAACACTTTCTTGAGGACAATGAGGCAGTGTAAATCAATTTTATGCGCACTTTGTTGAAATTATTTCCCTTTTTAGGCCCAACAAAGATTTAAACTATAGATTTTATCCTAATTTTTTTATTTTTCCCAGCTTTTGTGTGTTTTCCTAGTTCTTCTAAAAATTGTCTGTTATTTTCAACTATAAAAACGTGTGTTTTCGCCTACATATATGATTTACAGCCCTTCAAAAACGTTCAATTACCCTGGATCACCCATAATACATTGCGTTAAACGCGAAATTCAAGATGTCGTCGCTATTGGTGAATAGGTGAATTATAACCTTTAACTGTGAATGTTAGTCAAGTCGTCCGTTAAACCACTAACTTTGCGTGGTGTTAATTATAACAGCTTAACGGCGTAATTGGTTGACCCGTTGATGTTAGTAATGATGATATTATATTATAATAATAATATAATAATATATAAAGATTTATACAGCGCTTAAATTATATAAAATATTCCAAAGCGCTTTACAACAATGAGGTTATACTATATACAAGTAGCTAAAATATTAAGAATTAAGGTATAGGTGTCTATAAATCTAAAAGT